AAGACTCCAGAGAGTAAATCACAGCAGAAAAGCTGACTCTCGAGGAAAATTCTTCCCAAAAAGTGACGAAGAATGGCGTTATGGCGTTTTGGAGGGAAACTCTTTGATTTGATGTTGAAATCAAGTTCATTAGTGCACAGACTAACCCTCTCTTTTTTTCTTTTGCAGTTTTTTTTTCTTTCTTCCCTGTCTCTTGTCCGAGTGTACTTGCAGGTATTGACGACGGCCGGGACGGGATGTTCTCTGAGGGTCCGCTGTTGGGGTTTTGTGAGTTGAGTTGTGCATGTTTAATTTCATGCTTTTTCTTAGAGTTTTATTGTGTAGTGGGGCCCCTGTGTTTGTATGTATAGGTGTTGAAGTCAAAGACTTGCTTTCCAAAATGCAACATAGCCATTTGGAATACTGGTGCCAAATGTCTAGAGTCTTAAGACTCCAGAGAGTAAATCACAGCAGAAAAGCTGACTCTCGAGGAAAATTCTTCCCAAAAAGTGACGAAGAATGGCGTTATGGCGTTTTGGAGGGAAACTCTTTGATTTGATGTTGAAATCAAGTTCATTAGTGCACAGACTAACCCTCTCTTTTTTTCTTTTGCAGTTTTTTTTTCTTTCTTCCCTGTCTCTTGTCCGAGTGTACTTGCAGGTATTGACGACGGCCGGGACGGGATGTTCTCTGAGGGTCCGCTGTTGGGGTTTTGTGAGTTGAGTTGTGCATGTTTAATTTCATGCTTTTTCTTAGAGTTTTATTGTGTAGTGGGGCCCCTGTGTTTGTATGTATAGGTGTTGAAGTCAAAGACTTGCTTTCCAAAATGCAACATAGCCATTTGGAATACTGGTGCCAAATGTCTAGAGTCTTAAGACTCCAGAGAGTAAATCACAGCAGAAAAGCTGACTCTCGAGGAAAATTCTTCCCAAAAAGTGACGAAGAATGGCGTTATGGCGTTTTGGAGGGAAACTCTTTGATTTGATGTTGAAATCAAGTTCATTAGTGCACAGACTAACCCTCTCTTTTTTTCTTTTGCAGTTTTTTTTTTTCTTTCCCCTGTCTCTTGTCCGAGTGTACTTGCAGGTATTGACGACGGCCGGGACGGGATGTTCTCTGAGGGTCCGCTGTTGGGGTTTTGTGAGTTGAGTTGTGCATGTTTAATTTCATGCTTTTTCTTAGAGTTTTATTGTGTAGTGGGGCCCCTGTGTTTGTATGTATAGGTGTTGAAGTCAAAGACTTGCTTTCCAAAATGCAACATAGCCATTTGGAATACTGGTGCCAAATGTCTAGAGTCTTAAGACTCCAGAGAGTAAATCACAGCAGAAAAGCTGACTCTCGAGGAAAATTCTTCCCAAAAAGTGACGAAGAATGGCGTTTTGGAGGGAAACTCTTTGATTTGATGTTGAAATCAAGTTCATTAGTGCACAGACTAACCCTCTCTTTTTTTCTTTTGCAGTTTTTTTTTCTTCTTCCCTGTCTCTTGTCCGAGTGTACTTGCAGGTATTGACGACGGCCGGGACGGGATGTTCTCTGAGGGTCCGCTGTTGGGGTTTTGTGAGTTGAGTTGTGCATGTTTAATTTCATGCTTTTTCTTAGAGTTTTATTGTGTAGTGGGGCCCCTGTGTTTGTATGTATAGGTGTTGAAGTCAAAGACTTGCTTTCCAAAATGCAACATAGCCATTTGGAATACTGGTGCCAAATGTCTAGAGTCTTAAGACTCCAGAGAGTAAATCACAGCAGAAAAGCTGACTCTCGAGGAAAATTCTTCCCAAAAAGTGACGAAGAATGGCGTTATGGCGTTTTGGAGGGAAACTCTTTGATTTGATGTTGAAATCAAGTTCATTAGTGCACAGACTAACCCTCTCTTTTTTTCTTTTGCAGTTTTTTTTTCTTTCTTCCCTGTCTCTTGTCCGAGTGTACTTGCAGGTATTGACGACGGCCGGGACGGGATGTTCTCTGAGGGTCCGCTGTTGGGGTTTTGTGAGTTGAGTTGTGCATGTTTAATTTCATGCTTTTTCTTAGAGTTTTATTGTGTAGTGGGGCCCCTGTGTTTGTATGTATAGGTGTTGAAGTCAAAGACTTGCTTTCCAAAATGCAACATAGCCATTTGGAATACTGGTGCCAAATGTCTAGAGTCTTAAGACTCCAGAGAGTAAATCACAGCAGAAAAGCTGACTCTCGAGGAAAATTCTTCCCAAAAAGTGACGAAGAATGGCGTTATGGCGTTTTGGAGGGAAACTCTTTGATTTGATGTTGAAATCAAGTTCATTAGTGCACAGACTAACCCTCTCTTTTTTTCTTTTGCAGTTTTTTTTTCTTTCTTCCCTGTCTCTTGTCCGAGTGTACTTGCAGGTATTGACGACGGCCGGGACGGGATGTTCTCTGAGGGTCCGCTGTTGGGGTTTTGTGAGTTGAGTTGTGCATGTTTAATTTCATGCTTTTTCTTAGAGTTTTATTGTGTAGTGGGGCCCCTGTGTTTGTATGTATAGGTGTTGAAGTCAAAGACTTGCTTTCCAAAATGCAACATAGCCATTTGGAATACTGGTGCCAAATGTCTAGAGTCTTAAGACTCCAGAGAGTAAATCACAGCAGAAAAGCTGACTCTCGAGGAAAATTCTTCCCAAAAAGTGACGAAGAATGGCGTTATGGCGTTTTGGAGGGAAACTCTTTGATTTGATGTTGAAATCAAGTTCATTAGTGCACAGACTAACCCTCTCTTTTTTTCTTTTGCAGTTTTTTTTTCTTTCTTCCCTGTCTCTTGTCCGAGTGTACTTGCAGGTATTGACGACGGCCGGGACGGGATGTTCTCTGAGGGTCCGCTGTTGGGGTTTTGTGAGTTGAGTTGTGCATGTTTAATTTCATGCTTTTTCTTAGAGTTTTATTGTGTAGTGGGGCCCCTGTGTTTGTATGTATAGGTGTTGAAGTCAAAGACTTGCTTTCCAAAATGCAACATAGCCATTTGGAATACTGGTGCCAAATGTCTAGAGTCTTAAGACTCCAGAGAGTAAATCACAGCAGAAAAGCTGACTCTCGAGGAAAATTCTTCCCAAAAAGTGACGAAGAATGGCGTTATGGCGTTTTGGAGGGAAACTCTTTGATTTGATGTTGAAATCAAGTTCATTAGTGCACAGACTAACCCTCTCTTTTTTTCTTTTGCAGTTTTTTTTTCTTTCTTCCCTGTCTCTTGTCCGAGTGTACTTGCAGGTATTGACGACGGCCGGGACGGGATGTTCTCTGAGGGTCCGCTGTTGGGGTTTTGTGAGTTGAGTTGTGCATGTTTAATTTCATGCTTTTTCTTAGAGTTTTATTGTGTAGTGGGGCCCCTGTGTTTGTATGTATAGGTGTTGAAGTCAAAGACTTGCTTTCCAAAATGCAACATAGCCATTTGGAATACTGGTGCCAAATGTCTAGAGTCTTAAGACTCCAGAGAGTAAATCACAGCAGAAAAGCTGACTCTCGAGGAAAATTCTTCCCAAAAAGTGACGAAGAATGGCGTTTTGGAGGGAAACTCTTTGATTTGATGTTGAAATCAAGTTCATTAGTGCACAGACTAACCCTCTCTTTTTTTCTTTTGCAGTTTTTTTTCTTTCTTCCCTGTCTCTTGTCCGAGTGTACTTGCAGGTATTGACGACGGCCGGGACGGGATGTTCTCTGAGGGTCCGCTGTTGGGGTTTTGTGAGTTGAGTTGTGCATGTTTAATTTCATGCTTTTTCTTAGAGTTTTATTGTGTAGTGGGGCCCCTGTGTTTGTATGTATAGGTGTTGAAGTCAAAGACTTGCTTTCCAAAATGCAACATAGCCATTTGGAATACTGGTGCCAAATGTCTAGAGTCTTAAGACTCCAGAGAGTAAATCACAGCAGAAAAGCTGACTCTCGAGGAAAATTCTTCCCAAAAAGTGACGAAGAATGGCGTTATGGCGTTTTGGAGGGAAACTCTTTGATTTGATGTTGAAATCAAGTTCATTAGTGCACAGACTAACCCTCTCTTTTTTTCTTTTGCAGTTTTTTTTTCTTTCTTCCCTGTCTCTTGTCCGAGTGTACTTGCAGGTATTGACGACGGCCGGGACGGGATGTTCTCTGAGGGTCCGCTGTTGGGGTTTTGTGAGTTGAGTTGTGCATGTTTAATTTCATGCTTTTTCTTAGAGTTTTATTGTGTAGTGGGGCCCCTGTGTTTGTATGTATAGGTGTTGAAGTCAAAGACTTGCTTTCCAAAATGCAACATAGCCATTTGGAATACTGGTGCCAAATGTCTAGAGTCTTAAGACTCCAGAGAGTAAATCACAGCAGAAAAGCTGACTCTCGAGGAAAATTCTTCCCAAAAAGTGACGAAGAATGGCGTTATGGCGTTTTGGAGGGAAACTCTTTGATTTGATGTTGAAATCAAGTTCATTAGTGCACAGACTAACCCTCTCTTTTTTTCTTTTGCAGTTTTTTTTTCTTCTTCCCTGTCTCTTGTCCGAGTGTACTTGCAGGTATTGACGACGGCCGGGACGGGATGTTCTCTGAGGGTCCGCTGTTGGGGTTTTGTGAGTTGAGTTGTGCATGTTTAATTTCATGCTTTTTCTTAGAGTTTTATTGTGTAGTGGGGCCCCTGTGTTTGTATGTATAGGTGTTGAAGTCAAAGACTTGCTTTCCAAAATGCAACATAGCCATTTGGAATACTGGTGCCAAATGTCTAGAGTCTTAAGACTCCAGAGAGTAAATCACAGCAGAAAAGCTGACTCTCGAGGAAAATTCTTCCCAAAAAGTGACGAAGAATGGCGTTATGGCGTTTTGGAGGGAAACTCTTTGATTTGATGTTGAAATCAAGTTCATTAGTGCACAGACTAACCCTCTCTTTTTTTCTTTTGCAGTTTTTTTTTTTTCTTCCCTGTCTCTTGTCCGAGTGTACTTGCAGGTATTGACGACGGCCGGGACGGGATGTTCTCTGAGGGTCCGCTGTTGGGGTTTTGTGAGTTGAGTTGTGCATGTTTAATTTCATGCTTTTTCTTAGAGTTTTATTGTGTAGTGGGGCCCCTGTGTTTGTATGTATAGGTGTTGAAGTCAAAGACTTGCTTTCCAAAATGCAACATAGCCATTTGTAGACAATTCAACATTGTGCATAATAAAATATACATGTATGATCAAGTACCGGTAGCTTTTTTTTGATAAAATCAATCAGTTTGTTTTTATAATACGTTTAGCTGCCTCATTGTTATGGCCTAATTTCATCCTCATTATCAGGTGAAATCCATTGTTTCAAATTGTATACTACCTCAATCTGCTGAAATGTTCTTTTTGTGGCATTTGTTCATGGAGGGTTAATCACTGGCTAAATCTTGCAAAATGCAAGAGTGACAAGTTATGCAAACTGTAGCATCAAGAATTATATACATGCCTTAAATTTTTAGATGTAATTTGAGGTAATGACAAATTGTAATACATGAACTTGAATTTGTTGTCATCGGCGATACTGATCAATTAGAGAAATGAAGGTACTTGTGTTGAACTAATTACTACAGTTTCAATGATTAGGGTAATTTGTTTTTTGTCAAGGTTGTCTTTCAAACAGAAATCGTGTGCAATATCCAAGGTAATTTTAAATACTCATGCAAGTATGATGCATTTGTTTTTGTAGGTAAAGTTCATCTCTGACGATTATACTGAAGAGATGTACATAACGCAGAAGATGCAGTGAGTTTATTGATGGTAAGTGAAAAATGTCACAAAAAGAACTGTGAAATAATGGTACCTGATGGATTATAACTTAGTGTAATCTGAAAGATGTTTCTTACATCAGCATACCCAAAATAATACCTAGTGGAGGAAAGATGAGGAAAGATGGTTTGTCAGACAGGTACATTTTGGAATGCCGCTGGATGACTTTAACATAAATATTTATCGTAGAGAGCCAACAAACAAGATAACTGGAACTTATGTGGATGGAGAAACCGAGCTGACTGAACTTCAGAGATGCTATGGGTCATCAACACCACCATTCTTCAAACCTTTAAAAAATCCTAGGACATGTAACAACCATCTTGCCGGATCATTCTCGCCCGGAGGGGACAACATGTCCTGAGCGCAATTGACCTTGCCAGGGTCAGGTCACGACCTGTGATGCCACCCAGGTCATACCAGAGGGAACAGGTCATCAAAGCAACGTACGAAGTAGGGGTCAAGGTGTAATTCCCTATGTGACCTATTTGGCACGTGGATCCAGCAGCTTTGGACGCTTCTATTTTTTCCAACCATTTTACGGTTTCTGTCCCCCACAGATGGGAAGACAGTGTTTGCTGACAAAAAAAGTTGAGAGCTGTACATGTGTACTTTCTTACGTGGGAGTATTTTGACACCCTCTTTAATTAGTGCCAGTTGCAATATTCCAGATTCGGCAATCGATTGCATTGTAGAACAGCTAGTAAAAACTCAACTGGATATTGAGATGCAAACGACCCAAGTAAAGTCTGCCTCACATGGACTTCTGCCTGAAAAAAGACAGAAGTGCTGCACTTCTTCACACATACGCCTTGAAAAGAGCCACCCACTGCGTATCTCAATTGACAGAATGGAGTTGGTATGCAGATGAACAGTTTGGCTCTTTTGTAGCGGTAATGCTTGACAGAGATGTGGACAGTAAACTGATCAAAGGAAACTCTGCTTGTGGCAGTGTTTACAAACTTGTCTTAACCAAGAACATAAAGAAATATAGCAATACATGAGCATGTACTGTCCAAAGCTAGTCTTGCGTCTTGTCTATATGGTGCGGATACATACTGGGTTGTCAGCCTTTGATACCTGCTGCTCCTTTAGTGTGTTTCCATTACTGTTGCTTCTACACTAATGTGGACACAAACTGGACTGATTTCATCCGGGGCAGTAGAGGTCTCTAGTATGTTGCATGTTGAATTGAGAAAGATGTGTCTCCACGTTTCAGGATCATAACCTACTAAAGATTGTTCAGTACACAGAACTATGTACTTATGATCTTGACAGAGGAGCACTGTGGAAGAGATATGCAGACATCTTTAAAAATCTCTCATCACTTGCTGCATCAACCACTACTAGTGTGGAAGGCAAGCTGCTGATGATTGTGTTAGCTGGAGATTGGCCTTGTCAACCAGGCCCCCTACTTCAAAGGCAGCCTCAAGCATCGGCACATAATTGGAGAAGCAGCAGATGTTAGAGAAACTGTGATGCTTCAGCACTGTTTAGCATAGGCTGTATTAGCTACCATACTACCTAAGTGCCTTTCATGCAGACCTCCAGCTGACTCAGTGCTTGTGTACAGTCATCACCAACAAAGATGATATGATGGATGTGACTTGCAATAGACTGAACTTCTGATTCATTTGTACAGGTTTCTGTGCTTGGCCAAGTTACAGTGCCGTCATCCAGCCTTCAAGCATGGTTCAGGTGAGTGTAACTGTTGAATATTTTACTTAGATTGTATCATTGTAATGTAAGGAGCATCGTTTTGTCAGTTGTAAACAAAACCATTGAACTGAATCGAACTAAAATTTCACACAAGAAAGAACAATACACATGTATGCTTGTGATCATCAACAGCTGGTATAACATTGAATGTGAGATATTTGATATATTATGAGACATGTTATGTATCTTTCCAGAGGGAGTTTTGGGGGACACACTTTATTTTTTTTGTGTGGAACACCCTTGTGATGGATCCTCATGCATGTCATTCTCTTATCTGATTGTTTGTAGAAGCCATGAACCACAAATCAGCATGTTTCCTTCCAGTTTCCAATGAGCACTCTGACAGCATCACTTAGCATGCCAGTATTCAACATTGTGCAGGTGAGACAGATTGTCTGATGTTCTGGATTTTGGCATAATTATTATTATTTTTTTTTTTGATGTTTAAATTTTTGTTCTTAAAAAAATAAAATGAACTGAATTGTGTTTGGTTTGGATCATCTTCCCGGTGAGAATTTCTACTCTGGGGCTTGTGTGCAGACGCTGATTCCCATGCTATAAGGACTTGGGGCTTTCTGATGTTAATTGTGATCAACATAATGTGTCGCCTCACCTATACTTTTGTGAAGTGCTTAACTCAGCTGGTGATGTGTTACACATCATCTCGCACTTTTGTGAAAAAAATTTCATGCCACCAGACTAATATGTCAGACAGGAACGTGCATTGTAGTAAATATTTGTGTGCATTCCAAAGATAAGTATCATTAAAAACAACTGTGCAATTGCATTATGCATCTAGCATGTCTAGGCAAAATTTCTTTGCAATAGCAATTTTCAAGCTAGAAATTTGTGATCATTTCTCTGATTACTGAAAATTTATATATGTACAACTTCGAAATACTTGCCAATTATGGCATAGGATTTGATGAAGAAGTAATCAATAAATCAATTAATTCTGTGTAGATCATCTCTGTAAAGATGGCTGTGTTGCTTCAGTTGCCACATCTCTACGTATGTTCTTCCTGTTAGCAAAGGCACACTGTGACAGCATATACTTTCTACATGCTAATACATGCACAGTATTGTTCAGGTGAGTAGATATTTAACTGACAATCTGTTGTGATTGTCACATTAAATGTTGCATGATTGCGGATGTAAAAGTTAAAAACTGCCTGAATAAGAATAACGGTTATAAAAGCTTTTACGCAAAAAAATGTATAAATTTATACTTCAGTGTGAAAAAGCTTCCACAAGTAAAAATATCCTGCCAAATGAAAATAGCAATTCTTGGTGTTAAAACACAAGTACATGTAGTCATTAAAGGGAATATACAACGTTTGCTTTTTCTGTAATTTTGTTGTACTGACTGTTTTGAAGTTTTGTGTTCGTAGATGCTGGAAAAACCAAGAAAAACAATCATGACCTTGTAAGCTGGTTCCCTGACCCCACTGAAATTGAATGGTGACAGTCAGGCTAGCTTGTAGCCATTCATGGGTTGTATCATTGATTGCAAAGAAAATGTGGACTGACTAAATACGGTAAATTTGGGACAGTATGTGAAAAGAGTCAGATTTTCCAAAGGCTGGTCGGTCAATTAGTGTTGGAAATTGTACAGAAATACCACTTATCTTAAAAATGATGGCATACAAGGTGACATGATTTTATAGGATGCTTTAGACTGTCATTTACCAACAGTCCAGTAAGGTATTACATACTAATTTGGTAGTTTTGTTTTGTGATGTATGCAAATGTTGTATTTTCCTGATTTTTTAAAAAGGTTATAATGTTTGTACTTTGGACAACGATTGCACTTGGCATGTGGAGTCTGACATAAAAAGGCCTTGAATACATTTCTAGAAATAATATTACACTTTCAGTAAAATGCAACTTGAAGTGATCGTGTCCAATAGTTGCTGAGCAGTTTGCAAAGATTTGTTGTGCCAAAAATTTACCATGCATAATTTGTGTAGAGTGCTGTTTATGATCAAGCATTTCATGTTTTGTTTTATTCAGGGAAAGACATATGCAAACCTATCAGCTTCCAAAGTCGGCAACATCCTGCTGTCACTACAGTCTGGAGGGAGGGAGCATATTAATGCCGGTGCATACTTTGTCTGATTGCTATGAAAATGTGATATTATCAAGCATTGGCTGATTCATGTTCGCACCAAGTATGCCAGTGTCATGGTCTCACTTATCAGGTGTGCACACTTCTCCAAAAGGGACATTTAACTTCAATACGCACGTGCAAAATTGTGCTGCGGCTGTACATTATCGCCAACCTTATTGCGTGTGCTCACTGCACTGTGTTTGTGAAGAAGTGAGCACATTATAAGTAAGACTGTGACACTGGCTAAGCTATGAATTGCTACCGAGATAATTGCCTACTTTTGCGTCATTTCGTCTATGTTAATTTAAGTATTTGTTTACAATATCATTTATAGATTAAACTCATTAAAGAGACACTGCAGCCTGGCAAATGCGCAATTGGGCTACAAAATGCATTTTGAGTCGAATGGTGTTAAGTGCTTGGGATATAAACAACTACACAAACATCCATTGAAAATCACCTGGGGGGGGGGGGCACTTTTGCAACCCTCAAAATATGTGTGTTCAGTGCTGGTTGAGATTCCAGCTGTAAACGTTTCACCCTCTGCGCACATCAACCGGATGTTTCAAGCAAGATATCGTAAACAATGCAAAACATGACATTTTCAAGGATTTCAGGGAACAATAATTTATGGAATTTTGAGGAAACATTTTTGCTATTTTGTTTGGTAGAATACTATTGTTTTATATTAAAGAAAATGCTTTCATACAAATAAAAAAATTATACAAATAAAAATGTGTTGTGTTTTTTAATCACAGATAGGATATGGTTATATCACATTTTAACCCATTAAAGTCCATGGCCATTTTATAATCTGCGTTGTTTCATAAAAAAATTGTGTATGTTGTTTCATAGCATCTTTTAAAACTCGTCATTCAACCCCAAAAAAATTGAAAAGAAAATGAAAGATGATGAAATACGCTTTAATTTGATGTGTGTCTTGAACACGTTGGAGAGTGAGTATTTTCCCGAATTTCTGAAGTGTGAGCATTTACCATTGGGGTCTATAAAAGTTTATTTACTGGTCTGCTAACTTTAAGCCACGTTAGTTTTGCGCACCGCGTAAACAACTTTCGTCTTACTCTATTGTTAAGTTTAAGGAATCGTTCAGTTTGAGAATACACTGTTCTAGTTTTCGGACCCAAAACCTCCAGCCAAACACGACGCAAATAAAAAAAACCAGCGGTGATATCTGCATGTACAGCTTCATGTATGTATTACGCAGACAATTTATTCAGCCACAAGAGGGCGTCCTTACATTTCACAATGCAGGTTCTTTAAAGATTCTCATTTTCAAGTTAAGCACACCTCGGTTTAACCACAGGCTGTGGTTTCATTGTGTGGAAATCATTTTGAAGTTTAAAGTGTATTTCATTGGAAAACAATGCTGAAAGTTCAAAAAAAAAAAAAAAAGAAAAAAAATTACATTCAATGAATTTCAGATTATAAGGAAGCATGAACATAAAATCTGTCAAAGTTAGCCGAAAATCGGCTAAAACGGTCACTGTGGACAGGATTAGACCTCGGCAACACGTGCGCTGCATGCGGCCGGGCTGACTTACATACGATGTATGTGCGTACATATATGTACAACGTACGTGCATGTCATATGCACATCGTGGAAGTCCTGTGCATGTTTTAAAGCTCTCTACCGCAACTTGCGCAAGGGTATTTTTAGCCGACGTCGCGTCAACTGTGTGAACAATTTGACAAGCTGGGAACTTGGCACTGTTGAGGCAAATGTTAACCCTATTATTTAATAGGAAATTCAAGATTATATCTGTACGGATTGATTTGTTAGCAATTTTTGAAAAAGGAAAGTTCTTTTCAACGGAACTTCCGGTCTGATGACGTCATACGCCTAAAACTTTGCACACGTCTTAAGTGGGTCAAGATCATCATATACACCAATTTTTAGGCGATTCCAGCAACTTTCGTTACGGACATCTATTCAAAATTCATTTTTGAAAATGTTCAACCTGTCGCTAGAGGGCGATCAAAGATTGCATGACGTCATCTGTAGATGATTTGAAGAATACGCTCAGCCAAGAGACTAACACCGTTGAAAGCAAGTTCATATCTATTACCCCTTTTAAATAATAAGCCACTTCCGGTTTTGGCTTTTTTCGACAGGAAGCAAGGGTCACGTGATTTCACGCACACTAAATGAAATAAAGACCTCAACCTACTCTACCACCTGCCGGCAACAGAATGCTGCGGACGCATACGGTTGATTTCTTATGTATTTTTAAATATTAAAAGTGTCACAATTTAATTGCCCATTAATAAACACCGGATGACGTCATCATGACGTCATCATTACACAATGTTGTTTGAGTTAGGGTCTTTCCTTGGACAAAGATTGGTGTAAATGAATTACTGGCAAATAGTCGAAAATGCCCTTTGAAAATCGACAATTTCTTTTTAATTTCTGTGTACAAAGTCTATGGTAAATATTAAATATTCAAGAAGAAGAAGAAGAAGAAGAAGAAGAAGAAGAAGAAGAAGAAGAAGAAGAGGAGGAGGAGGAGGAGGAGGAGGAGGAGGAGGAGGAGGAGGAGGAGGAGAACAAAAAGAAAGGCTTTTCCGCAACTTTGCGGAAAAGCCAAAAAAAAAAATGAGAACAAAAACAAAGGCTTTTTCGCAAATTTGCGAAAAAGCCAAAAATCTTAACGAAAACAAGAGCTGTTTCGGTGTGTCACCGAAACAGCTAAAAAAAAATCTTAACGAAAACAAGAGCTGTTTCGGTGTGTACACCGAAACAGCTAAAAACTTAAGAAAAGGTACAGCAAGGTTTTGATTTTCTCAGATGGCCGGCAGTGGTGTAGTGAGATCCAATGCTCGACTCTTCACCGGTGCTCTTTTCAGTGTCTCAGGAAGGTCGTATCCTCTCAAAAATAAAGATGGGTGAAGTTCATCAGGATATGGCTGGCCGTATTTAAAGTGGTTGCTGCAGACTGTAGTCGATGATTTTACTTTGAAATCCTGCCGTTAGGTCAGTTGAGTCCAGAGAGGGAAGTGTTTCTTATCCCTGCATGAGTGGAATCTGAGTGTGTTTACATGCTCTTTGATGACATCTATCAAGAGAAGAAGAAACGTAAGATAGAGATATTTATTGTTTGATGACGGAGAAAAAAAAACCACATAAGACTTCGCAATTATTTTTATGAGTAAAACAATGGAGTAGGCTAGCTAGCTAAGCCTACTACAGTACTAGCTGACTAGGACAAATATGTACATGTGTACATGTTTATTTTTTTCACATTTTCGTGAACAGAATATAAACAATCATGAAATTGTCTGTAAAAGTCACACATCGTTCGCTGACAGAAGTAACAATTAAACCATTATAAAAGCCACATATTTGTCCGATAAGAAAAGAGTCATAAAAGGGAGCTTTTGAGGGGCACAGAAACTTAAATGCATTGGCCGACACAATCATGACAGTGCAGAGTGTCCCGTGTTTCCCCGGTCGCGTGCCGGTCGTCGGCACATCGCGATTGCGTCGGGTCGGAACTGCGCGCTACTACTTTTTGTCGTGAGAACATTTTTTTTCTGTACATCAAAGTAAAGTAAAAATTCAAAGTAAAAATTTCGTTGCTCACTCATGAGTAGATGAGCAATGACTCACGAGTAAATGAGCAATGAAACTGAGTAGATGAGCAGTGACTCGTGAGTAGATGAGCAGTGACTCACGAGTAAATGAGCAATGAATTGAGCAGATGAGCAATGGAAATGAGAAGATGAGCAGAAAGTAGTTACTCACGAGTAAATGAGCAATGAATTGAGCAGATGAGCAGTGACTTATATATTAAACGTTTTTATCCGTTTCTTACCATTCGGAGCTTAACCTTCAAAACTGCAACATGAATGTTATTTCTGCAGTCAAACCTTATGCTTGTCACATGTGTGACAAAAGCTTCGGACGGAGATATAACCTACAGAGGCATGCAGACAATGTACATGCTGTAGATGATTCTGAAACAGATGAAGTTGAGGAGGATCATTCTGAACCTGATTGGCAAAGCCGTAGATTTGAAGATCTATATATAATATGGAAAACTATGAAGCTGAATCTACGTATGATGAAGACGAAGATCTTGAGGACGATGATTCGGAATCCGAAACGGAGGTGGAAGATGACGAATTATCTGATGAAGACGAGTCTAGTTCTGATTTGGAAGACAACACCGCATATCGAGACTGGTTGAAAGAGTCCATAGAAGCCACCCAGGAGATGTGGAGTGACAAAATTTAATATGAAAAGTACATTAACGAGGATATGAGTAAAGATCAGGCCAAGGAAAAGGCCAACAGGAAGACCATGTGGGCAGTCGAGCGAATCTTTTTCAACAAATACAAGGATTTTTTACCTATATCTGAAAGACAGTGGCACTCATCAAGAAATTGTGGAAGATATCGAACGAAAATTGATTACGGGCATGAAATTGAACACTGCTCTGAACAGAATTATGCCTAGATACCGTAACACTTTTGACGGATTGTTCCAACAAGATGAGGATGAAGAAAACGATGAAGACAGTGATGATTAAAGACTAGTAGTTTCAAAAAGATTACTCATTTTTTAAAATAATCTAGCAGTGTCTTATAGGAAAAAAATAGTATTTGAAATAGTCTCCCCTTATCACTCTTATACAGTTATCCCTTATGGCTTAGAAGAAGAGCATGCCCATGCATGAAGATTTAAACTTGTGTGGGTTCTATATACGATGTGGCTTTAAATAGACAGTGTATTGTAAACCGGTATATGTCAGGTACAAAAGACAATATTATTAGAAACAGGTCTGAAATTATAAAATGGGCAGTTTATGATGACTGCATAATATTAGTGCACGTATATAAAGTTATATGCATGATAATGATAAATAAATTCTCAAATAATCCTTGAAAATCATCAGTGTGAAATGTTTTCCTTTTATTTATCTTAATACCCATTCCTTATTAT